ATGAAAGCTGACACACGCATACATAAATCCATCAATATAAATCCCGAAAAACATGCAGATAGTATTCCAAATTAATGATTTATTCAATTTCTTGGAGTTTAGTAACAATTTTGATTATTATGTTTTTTGTGATAGATTATTCTTGTTGAATGTCCGTTTGTCTTGAAGAAGAGTACTAAATTAACAGTCCTAATATTTTATTGATGTGAGTAATTTAAGAACGACTGTAGCATGTGTAAGGTAACACATCTGATGGAAAAGTGCCGTTGAAAGCACATAAGGGATTAAGATTTCTAAAAAATTAATTTTATTTAAGTTCAGCTTAGATAGATGTTAGGCAATATTCATGGATAACTATACTTGAGAAGCACAATACAATCCAGAAAACACTGGGAAACAAATAAACGTGAAGACGCAGTTATGCAAAAAACCGGTATACAGTACTGCAAATGAAAAGCAGCCGTAAGAATAGTTACACGGTAATATTTGGAGTGGGATCGATGATTATCTTAAACAGAGGACAAATTCTAAGAGCACACTATGTTAGTGAAGAACCTGTAGGCGGAAAAACTGGAATTTTTCCGAATATTCCACATCATCTTTATTCATCGTTCATGCAATTTTATTATATCGATATATCCATGAATCCAGTGTTATTTGCTTTCTCAGTAACACGTAAAAATCCAAATCCCACTCTCCAATGTACATCTAGGAAATTTCATGAGATTAATCAATTTATTCTAACAATACCATTTTACTCGTGTTTCCAATATACTACTCATTAAAAGTAGTGAGAAAAGAGGACAAAGCTCAACTTCATTTGATTAGATACTTGGTATTGAACTACTCTTGTTCTTCATAAACGTAGTAAGCTCTGTAGCTAACGCGTAAAACAGTTCTTAGAGAATGAAAGACGATGTACACGTTTACTGTCCCAATGAAATTGAATTACACAATTAAATTAACTGAAAACCAACAACATAATGGAAAGCAGTAGTGATATTCAGCCAGTTTTCAGGTAAATACAATAAGTCTATTTTTTTAAAGATACAGTGGTATAAACTGAAATGCATTTTGTTATCAGTGTGTTGTAGAGCTGTAGTTCATTGACGCATACTCATTTTTAGGTTGGCGTCGCATGTTATATGCATTACGCATCACATCAGAACGTGGTTGACGAGAACGACTTTGTTGGACACCATTGTTTGTTCTCACTATGCGACTACGGCTATTTGAATTGTATGCTAACGAATTACGAGGTCGGCTGTTTTCCTCTGGGGACTGATGGTAACGATCGGGTCGCTCACCTGTTGTACGTCGAGATATTCTTTGAGAAGGACGTGGTCTGGAATTTCTATCCCCGTACGCGGATCTCTGGTGCTCTGCAAAGTTCGACCGGCGTCCAGATTCACCATGATTTAGTCTAAAAGAATAATTTCAGAATACTTGCGTCGATATGTCCCAAATATAGAAAAATTCTAGACTTGTAATGTTTAAAATGACTGAGACAGGCAATTCAGAGATTAGGAAAAACGAATACACATGGTCTTAAAAATTTAGTTTCTAAAACCAATCATACAAACTCGATAGTAAATATGACTAAACTGTACCGTGTTATGCACAGATGTCACTTTTGTATAAGAAGTATGTAATAGAAAACGAGAATACTGAGAAAACTGACACTACTGGATTTCAGTAACTGGACCTAAAAAATGTTTATCTATAGCTCATAAGTTTTATGGGTTCAAGTGCGTGATGTAAATTTTTAATACATTCTAACTACCTTAATGAAACCATGGATCAATAATCTAGACAGTATGTTACTAACCACTGAATGAGGAGTTTGATTCCCGTTAAATTCAAGCTGATAATAGTTGTCTGGTGCACACTGGAAACTTAGTATAGGAACATAAACGCAAATACTAGACGAACAATGATATCACCCTAATATTAACTAAATAATGGCAATGTGTCCATTGGACCGATCTACCTGAAATTTTTTAGCGTGATGAAAGTTATTTTCATGTTGAATTCCCTATCAGGTAGGAAGCTTTGAAAAAAATCAGGTTTCTTTAAGAGTACTTTTTATGCTAGATGATTCGAAATTCCGCACAAGAACAATGCTTAAGATCTGTAGTTACGAAACTGATGTAATAATATCGCAAGATGAAAGAATTGCTTTCTTATCGCTGCTGTCAATTACAGAACACTTCCAAGTCACACTCTTGAATTCGCGAACGATAAGTAGGAAATGAAAAAATGATTCAGTGACAACAGCTTCTAATAATTATTTTCCAAATCCAAAGCATATTTAGTAAAACTGCAGAAAGTTTTTGCAACTGCTTGATAACTACAATAACGATGAGATGAAATGTTCTTAGTTATGAATGAAAATCCACGTTCGCTGAGATATAAAAACATTATCAGCGCGAAAAACCATGAAACATAATGTTAACGCTAATGTACAGCAGAAATTCAGTGTCTTGTCTTGTTTAAGTTTTGGAAGTTAGAACTGAAAACATGTTGAAAATGTTGCATATAGGATCCAGTTTCATTTTGTTTATGTTGAGTAACTATTGGATTCTGAAATTTTGAGTTGTATATGTTGTCATCAAACTGGCATCTGTAAGATCCTCTTGATTTGATCTTGCATTTTCCTCAGTCGTATGCTATGAATTAGAAAGTTGGCCTTTACACTTAAAATAATTGTTGAGGTAAGATTTGCTATCCTCTGGATATTAAAATTTGTTTGAAGAACTGGCTTTTTACGTCCAATCAGAACATGTCAAAACTCCACATGAGGTATAGCGTCTTTCCTTTTGGTGAATGTTGAAGTAGGAAACTGCCATATGTACACTTATTGAGAACGAAACACAATCCATTATTCGGTAACTGTATCATAGGTTGTATACTAAGTACATGGAACATGCAGGAACGAGATGTTGACTAAGTATTGAAAATATCAGAAGGGATGCTTGATGTGATATTGTTAGTCACATGCTTGACTTCGTGCCACGACACCGACCGAAAATTTGAAGACTAGTTGTAAGATAGATAGTTTTACGTAGCATTGAGTTGTATGCAGAAGTTTAGTATCTCTTTACTTTGACTACTGATTATTGAGGACTTTGTGCGACGTGACTGAGATGCGTTCATTTTGTTTTTTGTCACTATTGAGTCCCAGTGTTGCTTCATATATACCTTTCCATTTTGTCATTTTATATCGTATTCTCGACATTTAGTTTTTCGCATTACCATTGCTACTAAGTGATTATGGTTCTTTTGCCATTTAGCTTGTTAATTTCTGCTTCAATCTACATTTTTGCCCGACTCTACATTAATTATGACTGACAGACACAGCTATTCCATAGTATACAAGAATATCAACTTCTACATAGAGTTGATGTTTACCAAATGAGATGATTTAGACGTTTTATATTTTATGTATTCAGCTTGTTAACCATTCTCACAGTAATCATTCTAAAAGCGAAAAATTATTTTGTATTCTTTGATTTGTAAACAATCTTGCAAAAATTGTTAAAATATAGTGAGTAAACTTATAAATATTTTATTGGTTTGGACTCATCAGTATTTCATAAAAATTATGTAAAAATCAATTGTGGTGTTTTAAGAGTTCTTGAGTTCTTGCATTCTCATTTAACATTCATATCTGGTTGGAATTCATCTAGATTCATTATGAAATTAATTCATAAATAAAAAGTAAGATGCCTTAGATACAATGCGTAAGTTTTCTCTCTCATCTGAAACGTTTTACGCAGATGGAGGTTAACAAAATGGAAATTTACAATAAAATAGAGTAGATTAGCATACATATTATTGAGTTTAATATGACACCATGCCTTATCCATCCCACTCATTTAAAAGCCATGTTATGGCAACCTACATAGATTCAAAAGTCTGACAAGTTTAACAGTGATTATGACTGGCTGACTTAGGTTGTCGCACTATTGTCTTGTATACATACACAAATACACGAAAAGTTTCATAAATCTTGCTATTTTAATTTAAATGTTTTGAAATAAATTTAAACTAGTCAACATGAATGTTGGTTAAGTAATCTGTACATAAGATTTTGACTAGTGTGATTAGGTCATTAGGAAAAATGTAGTCATTATAACCACCAAGACATGAAGTCAATGGTTGTTGATCATAAATTTATATATGGAAATTTGAGTCTTCCGTGGGAATTTGCTGAGATATTGAAAATCAATCGATGAAAAAATATTTCGTCAACAAAAATTATTGACAAGAATTGCATTCAGTATTTCCCGGTCTTAGTATCAATGGGGTGTCATTACATTGTTTTCTTATGAGTAAATCTTCTTAACACACAGAGAGATGACATTTCTTGTGTCCTATTCGAATGATTCTTATGTTTTTGAATTTATTTTCCCTTTTTGTAAGGTTATTGTGGAGTGTTGAGTAGATGAACTGTGTTGGAATTTTAACTTTTTCCTCTGCATGTAGTTTCTTAATAACACTGTTCTGAAATTTGTAAAGGACTTTAGATACACAGTAACAACAAACTGGATATGATGAAACGATGTTCAAAAACAAGATGAATCCGTTAGAAATAGTTTTTGCATCTTTTATTCAGTAATCTTCATCTAGATATTTTCAGGTTCTCTGTCTGATGTTGAGTATTTTTTAATAAACCATCAGTATGAGTACAGTACTCCTTATGTATCTTCAAAATGTATGAAGAAACAAACATAAACACTCTTTATATATAAAAAGAAAGGGATTTCATTTACGAACAGATGGACAACTGTAGATTAGCTGAAGTTATTTTCATATCCAAAGCTGAAACCAAATCCCGGTTTTTAGTTATTATCAATATCAGTGAACAAGAAAGCTAGAGAAGCACATAATTGAAACGGGGTGCAAATGTACGACAACAAAAAGAATACACAAACCACAGATTACAATATATGCATGAATAATATTTAAGCCATCCTTATTGTACTATGAAAATTTACCGTTTTTCTTTGCCCATATATATTCCAGGTGTAGGATTGTGTGGTCGCTCAGTGTAGCTGTAATCAATGCGAACAATACGATCATGTAGTTCCAAACCTCGAGCGCATGCAGCGCGCGCTGAACGAGCACATTCAATAGACCGAAAATATATAAACGCGAAACCACGTGAACGCCCTGTTGATAGACAATTGAGAGTATGAAGAAACATGAAATGGCATAAGAACGAGATTCTTATCCTTGACAATAGTGGAAACTATTGTGAAGATGATAAACAATATGTACATAAATACTTTTGTCCAAAAAACAACTGAGAAACATTTTCACAACTGTTTATGCAGGATGGGTTATTAGTGTTTGGCAGCTAATTTTACTCAAATACTTTAAAAAAGGGAAAACAAGACCAACTATCCAAAAACTAGTTAACAAACACCGAAATTTGGATATGAAATGTCACTTATCACACCTATTTTGTTTTTATTCATTTAACACATACATTGTGATACAACTGGGCATAAAATAGTATGCACCATACTTTAATCTGACTATATGGTTGGAACATCTTGTAAACATTGTATAAGCTAACTATACAAAATAATCTACTTTGACTTACCAGATAAATTATCTTGAACAAGTTTTATCTCCTCTATTTCGCCGTACTTTTTCATTATGTCATACAAATGCCGTTCCTCGGTACGCATAGACAATCCAAAAGCACCAAGTACACGAGATGGTTTGGGAGGAGATGATTCGACTCGACTGTCCATTTTACTACGTTTTTTCGGAACAGGACTAGTGTTTGAATCACGACTGTACCGCGGGTCTTGGCGAAACTTCTCTACATCATGTTTACTACGTCGAAGTTCTTTACTGGGGGAAACATATTCCTTGTTTGGATTGTAGTAGTCATATTCCCTATCTTTTAAATCATTTTCGAAAGGCATTCGTGACTGGAATGGAACATCCCGATAACGTTTTCTTGAAACGGAATTTTCATATCTAAAACGAAGAAAAAATAATACATCATAGACCCTATTCCACGTTAAGTAGCTAAAGCAGTCTAACCAACGATAAGATTAAATAATTCATTTAGAATTATCTACATTTCCCAAACAATCTATGTTCGAAAAGGCATATTTGGTTAAATGTACGGACGGATAACGATAATTCATATAGTGAACATAACTTATGGGCGATATTTATTCGAGTTATTAAAGACCTCAGTTAAGTATGTAGATTATAGCTTACGAATTTACATATGAAAATTACGTTTTATAATTATCACCTAAATATATATCCATATGAGATCAACAAAACAATAAGTACAAAAATATTTAACTCATCAACTGCAAACAAGAACATGTACCAGACTATGAATCATATCCATTATCTGAGTTCCGATGGTACTTCCCAGTCATCCAGACATCTGTTAAAATATTAGTTGTTAAAAACGAGATCTATAACACAACGTAAACTAGACTGTAGAACTAGGTTTTTTCGTTTGCTCAATCTGGGTTTCATTCAAAATAATTGTTACAGTGTCAAGTGAGACAAAAGTAAGACCGAGTTGGATCTAACATAAAAATTTAAGTTGTTTTGGCGAAATTTCAATTGGATCTATAACCGATACACCAGAGAAAAAAACGAAATCTTTGATCAAAGCTTAACAGACTTAGGTAAAGAGCCACAATGATAGCCAAACAAATGCACTGTCTATAGACTACAAATTTCGTTAATTTCTTATCCAGCTCCTGACATTATTAATAATTTTAGTAGCAATAATTCAACAATTATATTTAAGTTTCTATGTAATACTACGAGCTGCATCGATTACGATTGAAATACACTGGATATACAAACTTTTACTGGTGTGGTATACAAATTCAGGATGCTGGTTAAAGACTGTATCCGAACCAATGAAAGCTGAAAATCAACATACGTTATCAAACAATGTAGTTTGAATTATTTGGACGTGATAACATACAGTATGACTCATAATAAATGCGAACTATGAATGACTGCACTTACGCATGTTCAGCATGGCGAGAACCGTTACGATAGTCCCGTCCACTATCTCGATTCGAATATATTGTTTCATAGGCCATTTAGTACTTAGCTTTTAAGAGTATAACTGAGGGAAAAAGGGAAAACACATTTTAGAAATGTCAGTGCACTTTAAAAAGGTATCAAACTAATTTGCCGACGTAATTAACCTAATTACCTTAGCAACTAACCCATAGATTGGTGGTTGCGTTAAGATTCTCGATTAAAACCATGATAACCAACGACGGTTTCAGTTATAGAGGAACTTCGATAATTACTAAAGTACAGTGTATTCAATTCGAATAACTTTGATCAACAGCGACTTATTGTTTGCTAACGCTTGTGAGACTGATAACTCTGACATTTTCCCCACATTAAGTCTATTTACACGCATGGATTATGAACATATGACGGTAAATGTATTCACCCTGAAAATTTAATTTAAATTAGCTAAATCACCAGGTACTTGAATACGAGCTACTGTGTGAGGGCGAATGATACTACTCGACTAGCTAAAATAAGGTCGGTGGAGTGGGGTCTGAACCAGGAACCTAATGAGTGAAGGTGAAACGGCCTAACCACTAAATTACTGCTCCTGCATCCTGAAGTTCATTGAACCAGAAGATTGTATAAAACCTGATTTCACATAACTTAGGTAGTAGAAAATGAAACTATTTACGTCCCAGACTCAAATGTAACTGAAACGCTGAAACATGTGTTTAAGCCGACGGAAGTATGACTACGTGGGAATTATACGGCCATAAAAAGGAAATTCTAGGGGGGAAAACGGGAAGCCAAAACTGAGAGCGGGTACGAAATAGCTGGTGACAAAAATTTCACTAATCTGAAGCTTACACAATAAACTAATCTAGAATGAATGTTACAGAACAGCTCTTATCTGTAAACAAATGTAAAAGTCAATAATTCAAAGCCTTTAACCTCTGGTAGCGTCTTTTCGCGGACTCCAACCAAGTAGTCTACCAATAGTTAACGAATGATCACGTATGCTAAATGGAATAAAGTTAGGTGCCCGTAACTACATATGTTTTCAAAAATTTACGACTTTGTATTTAGAAAAGAGCAAGAACAAAGATTCTAGCAGAATAGCATGAATTCATTTTATTTCGTAGGTTCTCGTCAGCTGCTTACAACCTGTGATATTTAAAAATCATAATTACATAGTGGGTTTAAATTGCTAACTGAATATTGTAAATATATACCTAATGTGAAAGAACATTCTACAACATTAATTGTGACAACAGTTCAAAAGTGTGTTAGAAACAATGATGTAAGTCAAGATTTCTCCGAAATAATGATGCCGATACCCCTTCTGACAGCCAAAGCAGCAATTAACATAGGTACATGGAATGTCTGGACAATGTGGTAGACTGGGAGGTCCAGTTAAACAGCTATGAAATAGAAATACAGCCTTCATTCAAAATACTGAGAAACAACCAAGTCACAACAACTCTCAACAACAAGTTCCAAGTCTTACAAGATCTACTCAAAGAAGAAACTACTGTGAAAAACAACTCGAAATAGATCAAAGCGTTAATTTCAAATTGCCAGGTGTTGGGTCGCGAGAAGCACCATCATAAGGAATAGACCTCTATAGAAAACCAGGACAAGATTCAAGAAAGAAAGAACAAGAAGACAGCAATTAACAACAGCCAATCACGAGCAGAGAAAGTAAAGGCACAAGTTGAACACACAGAAACAAACAAGCAAGTGAAGAGCATCAGAGCCGACAACCAGGAATATGTGGGAGACCTAGCAAAGATAGCGGATAAAGCTGCAAGAGAAGGAAATATGAAACAACTATATGACACAACGATGAACCTGACAAGGAAATATAGTGAAACAAGGATTGGTCGAGGACAAAGAAAGTCAGCCAATCGCTGAGATTCAAAAGCAGAGGAACAGATGCACAGAATACTTTGAGGAACTCTATAATAAGCCAACTCCACTGAACATCGAAGAAGCACATACAGACCATCCTACATGTCACCCCACCAACGATCGCAGGAATGAGGATGGCCATCAGATCAATCAAGAATGGGGAGGCAGTGGGTTTTGACAGTATATCAGGTGAAGCACAAAAGTCAGACAGAAGTAACTGCAAACATGCTTCACGCTCTATTCAGGAAATTTGGAAGGAAGAACAAGTACCGATGGACTGGAAAGGACACATCGTCAAGACACCAAGGGAAGGAGATCTGAGCAAATGCGAGAACTACAAAGGCATCACACTACTGTCAGTACCAGGAAAGGCTTTCAGCAGCGTTGCGAGCCGGATGAAAGAATCAGTAGACGCCCAACTTTGAGATCAACAGCTCGGATTCCGTAAGGATCGGTCGTGCATAGACCTAGTCGCGACACTACGGATCATTGTCAAACAATCTGTCGAATGGAATTCATCACACACATCAACTTCCTTGATTATGAGAAAACATTTGAGTGTGGATAGGACACTGTGGAAACTCCTTCGACACTATGGTGTACCTGAGAAAATCTTCAAAATCATACGGAATTCATACGACGGACTACACTACAAAGTAGTGCATGAAAAACAGTTGACAGATTTATTCCAAGTGAGGACGGGAGCTAGAGAAGGCTGCTTACTCTTTCCCCTTCTTTATCCTCTGATGGTTGACTGAATTATGAAGACGTCCACATCTGATGGGAAGCATGGAATAAAATGGACATCATGGATGTAACTAGATGATCTGGCCTCTGCAGAAGACCTGGCCATCCTATCACATACACACGAACAAATGCCTCCAAATGCGCTGGTACGGTCGAGAGTGGGGAGTCCGCTCGCCCTCTCGAAATGCTCTCACACGGCCACGCGTATATAGCCTCTGCCAGGGAAGTCCTACTCATTGCCTTATCGTGACGGGGGTGTTGTTTACGAAAATGAGAGGACGAAAAGCGAATGTCCGGCGCTTTAACCGGATTCCAAACCAATGGTGCACATGGGCTCCAGTGTCCTGAAGGAACAAATGGCGTATTAACCAATCATTGATCACTGGCTACCATGTGACTGCATATCCTTACGGTGCTCCACTGCCTTGTGGGTCAGACCTTTAGGTCAAAGGCTCGGGGTATGGCCTCCTAAGAAAACCATCTGTTTTGGTCTGAGCACCCGGGCAGTACCACAGCCCTCACACATATCAAATGAGATTTGTGTGGCGCATATGTATTTGGTGCCTCCTTGTACCAATATCTATGTGTTAAAATAACAAAATAAATGAACAAATGCTGTAAGGACAGTCAATGAAGCAGAAGCCTCTGCATCAGTAAGCCCCAACATACACAAGGGAAAAACCATGATCCTCAACAAAGAGAGCACCAACTCAATAACACTTGATGGAGAAGCACTGGGAGAGGTGGAAACATTCACGTACCTGTGGAGCATCATCGATGAACGTGGAGGGTCTGATACAGACGTAAAGACAAGGATTAGAGAAGCAAAGACAGCATTCTTACAGTTGAATATATGGGACTCGAAGCTGCCAACCACATATAAGGTAACAGGTCTCGGATTTTAGCGCGAGATTCACTTATCCATTTTGGATAAATAAAATTTTGGCATTATAGCTGATGTCAGTCAGTCAGCTACAACGTAGGACCAGGCACATTTATGCATCGGTCCAAGTTGCCATACCTCATTAACACAACAAGAATGGACAGCGGATTCACAAAAGTAGTTAATTCAGAGGTGGTAATATATAAAAGTAAGATTGCAATAAGGATATAGTACAGGAAGAAAGAATTAGTTCGTAGAAAGAAAGATATAAAGCAATTTTAATCTCTTAGTTTAAGGTAAGATAGAGAGTGTATACACCGACGCCGTTGTGATCGATTCTGAGCCATGTCACCAACAGTCTCCAACCATTGGTTACGAAAGTCAGGTGGACCCCAACCAAGTAGTCTGCATCTACCAACATGGCTCAGACTAGAAGTTAGTGACTTCAAGCACTGATGCCACGTTTTGGATTGGCCGCCCCTAACTTTTTACCAACCATCCCGAACACCGGTTAGCATTGCACGTCGTGTTAATCGGTGTTCAGGCATACGTAACACGTGGCCCAACCATCTCAGTCGATGAGATGGTGTCAGTTCGTGATGAAAACCCTAAATCTAATTTATAACCTTATTCATCAAATGTAAATCATAATTCTAATTCCTCACACAGGTTTGTAATTCTTACTTGATCCTCGTTATGAGGTGGGCACTCAAGGTCAGCCTATCGTCGCTAAAATGTCGTCCATAAATTATAATCTCACCCTGTTAACCAATGACATAATCTTTAATACGAACTTTAGAAAAATGCTACTATATGAAGCCAAAACTTGGAGGACTACCACAACCATCATCAAAAGCAACAAGTATTTGTAAACAACTGTCTACGCAAGAAACTAGAAGTTTGTTGGTTGGACACTATCAGCAACAACATACTATGGGTATGAAAAAACCGACTCCCATCTGAGCAGGAAACTAGGAAAAAGACGCTAGGGAAGATAATATATAGATTGCGGAAATCACCAAACTGGATCACGAATAAAGTTCTAACTTGTAATCCTGAATGAAAGGAAAAAAGGAAGACTAAGGAACATATTGCGTCGAGGAATCGGAGACGAGATTCATAAGAATGATTGCCACTTGTCAAAAACTGGGAGGTTAAACAAAGAACAGAGCTGATTGTAGAACTCTGTTCGGCGTCATATGCAGCACCACGACGGGTATCAGGTGCAAGTCAGCAACTCGCTGAGCTTTTTAATCTAGTAATATATCACAAATAAAATACACATCTCAAGCAACCAATAAAGGCGAAAAACGGAAATAAAGGGGACGAAGGCGTAAATAAAGGTGGAACGCCGCTTTCTCGCTTGTACGTCAGTTATTTAGGGGAATGGTCGAATTTTTCCCCTTACGTCGCGTATTTGGGGGATAAGCACAGGCTTGAAAGGCAAGTATGTCATTACTAAATGTTTTAAACTGTATTCCCTAATACCTCTGTCGTGTTGAGATTGATAGAATAATTTTTGCACAAACGGTGAACTAGTCATATGAATATTAAGCATCTCACTTTCCTAGGCAGAACTAGGGAACTATTTGTTCTAGACTAAAAAAATCTAAAAAAACTAAAATAGACATGTAAAAAAGTATTTCTCTATATATATATTAATTAGTAAACACAAAACATACAACGCAACTGACCACCTATCGACAACAAGCTTCTTAGTCGAAAGTCGCAACAAATCCTGTTACTTGACCTACTCAAACACAATCAGGTGGTTCAATGTAAAATGAAATTATTAAATAACCCTTCACACACAAAAAATGAAAAGTTGTTATTGTAATGCCAGCTAATTGAAACTCCTTGATTTCAAACAGTACTTTCAGATAACTCTCATAGAACTAAGAGTACTACAAGCCCTAAAGTTTCAGTTTCAGTTTAAAAAGGACAGGAGGCTAGATGACCTGTGTTGGTCCTGGCAATAATGTTCCCTCGGTTTATCTAACTTCACTTCGAAAGAGTTGGCATATGAAGCTTCAATCACGTGTTGAGGTAATGAATTCCATCCGTTCATGGTTCGGCGGGAGGGTCGATAATCAGCTGACAGGTAATTTGTTTTGGGCTTGTGAATCTTTTCGAACTGTCCTCGTAAGCTCTATATTTCGGAAGGCAAAAGGAGTGATGGCATGTCAAATGCTAGTTATCATTAAGTAGCTCAGTGTTATTTATTATGTACATATCTGTACTTCGATGACCAATATGTATAACAAAACATCTAGTTGTATTTATAGGCAACTGCCAAGTTTGACATCATTCAGATAATTTCTCCAGGTCACTTTGAAGTTCTTAGCTGTCACCTTTGCTTCTTATCGCTCCTTATATCTTAACATCGTCAGCATATAGCAAGACCGATGGTGATAGGAGACGAGGAAGGTTATTTACAAACAAGAGTAATGACACTGACCCTCAAACTGTACCATGAAGCACTCGCTAGGCACAGTTTCCCGGCTAGACAACTTGGAGTTCATTCGTACTGTTTGTGAAAGCCCAAATAGTAAGTCTTTTATCTACAATAATAGATTGCCTGCAACCCCGACAATGCTTAACTTAACCAACAGCTGGTTACGAGTAACTTTGCCAAAAGCTTTCCTGAAGTCGATGAAAGCTGTGTATATGAGTAGCTTTAGATCTTTAGAAGTACACCAGCTTTCGCGAGTCACTAATAAGTTAGTCAGACAGAAATAAACTATTCTCAAACCATAATGCTTTTCGAAACGAAAGGGTTTTCTTCGAGACACTTAAAAAGCTCCTTGCGAATAATCATTTCTTAAAATTTAACAACCACGTTAATTGGGCCAACGGGTCGGTAATTCTCATACTTATGTTTCATATATGTTTTAAGGACGGGAATTACAGCAACATTCTTCCAGTCTTTTGGCAATCGAAAGATTAAAACACATGCCTAAGGGGTTCGCAACGAAGTTAGCTAGTTCTTTCAGTAGCCTGGGATGCGGTTCATCTGGTACCCACAACAAATGGAATAGAAATTAAAACTTGTTATGGCAAGAATAATTAACTTCGCGTCCCTTGAGATATATCTGCAAACAGATGTAGTGGTTTCTTGGTCATCGAGAAGTATATACCTGCTCTGTTTTGAAGTGCGAAAACATTACTGAAAAATGGGAGAACTGACCGAATTTAGGAGCATAGAATAACTCCCCCCCCCAGTATATTCTGAAAGAAAATAAGTGTTGAGTCTCATTTCTAAATATCTTTTGAACTCAGGTGAAGGCCAACTGACTTCTTTTAGTTGCTTCTTGGCCCCGTGTGGTCGGACAGTAATTTAAAAGAGTAGTGGCAGTGATTTAGTCCCAGTAGTGTTTGGTTCCCCTAGACTGTTTAGCTGGTACCCATAACCTTTGACAATTCTTTGTTATATAAGAATACGACGATATTCCTGAACTTAAATCACGATCATGAACCAATCCCAGACTAGAAGTCAGTGGTTTAGAGACCTCGCACTTTCAGTGAACATGGATAAAGATCAATTAAATGAAAGATGAAGGTACTGAACCATACCTTCTAAATATTATCGAAGTTGTACAACACTATAATAACCAGCTAACGGATAAATTTTCAGACATAATTTGTCACGAATTATGATAAGTCGAGCACATATTCACCTACATTGGCTACAAAGTAGAGTCATTTTAAGACTGTAAGTGATAAGTATGACGAACCAATTATTTATTCCTTCGTTGCAAGCAACCCTCCAATACCACTGTAGCTTGTTAATGAGGTACATAGGCAGCCGACCGATAATTCTTTCAAAAAGTCATATAATTATCTATACTGACTCGTTTTATGTGACAGTCAGTAATTTAATGTCTAGCACTTCTGAATGCAGATTTGGGCTACGAATAGAATAATATATTTGACTCGAGAAACGAGAGGTTACATAACGTGACTACGCCCGGATATCCGAGCATCCCCACGCCGATAGTGTTTCTGCATTCACCATTTCTGACCTTCTCTATGGTGTTAAATGCTGACTCTAAATCTTCTCAATTATTATGGGTTCGAATTCAAGGATCGTGTGATTGAAAATCCATACCACTAGAAATTTTCCTCATCAGTTGCTCAAATTTTGGAACCAGTGTTGACGATGCGTGCAATTACGACTGAAAATTATGGGATGCCTTTGCCCCTCATTCATCACAATGTCAACTTCACAAATAACCCAAGTGCGCACCATGCATGATGATGGGATTATATTTCAACTCCCATGACTTCTTTCACCTATCGGTCACTTCCCTACTGCCCAGTACAATAAATGACACGTAGTACCTGCTCAGAAAGAATCAACCAATTAAAACCTCCTGAGCACTCGTAACACTGAGTTTGTTTAGATAAATACATCTTTGTAACATTAAGCAGGATAATATCACAATCTCAAATATCAACACAGAACTTCCTACTATCGTGTTATATCTAGACTTATTTTCTACTTATACACGCACCGAATTTCCAGCTACCATTCGTAATTCGTGCACTCAATCACGATTCATTTGTTTGAAACCATTTTTACTTACACAGTGTTCGGTACATATAATCCTCTACGATTACCTCTGTAACTAATACGAAAAAGTTTACAAATTACTGAACTTATGCAATCCCATGTATAGTACGAGAATAGAGACAACTTTCTAAGCAAAGGAACGCTAGGTGCGGTAAAAATAGACTAAATTTCAAGAGCAACAATAGGCTAATTTGTGGTAGTATTGGTTACTAACTCCGTGATTCTCGAAGCTGAGCGTACAATTACCGAGAACATTTACATTCTATATGTAGCACCTTGAGGATGTCAACAGTGATTAACGCAATAACACCTGATCAGCATGCCATGGCACGACCATGCAGGCGTGGTTACACTACAGAACCTATTGTTTTTCCATTGAATATACATCTACCTACACAGCAAAAACGTGCTTTTTATAAGTGCTAAACGCCATATTGCTGATTGTACGATAGGGCTAGTCAGTGTAGATGGTGATGTGACTTCCATGTAATGTTGAAGTGACATTGGACCCTAACCAACGTAAATGATCCGTCCTTAGAGTCTTCTATGTGGAACCCTATCATTTTTCGCACTAAAGTCGTTGCTGACAACATCTGCTGAATTTTCATCATCCCTTCAGAGTTCGGGTGACACTCTGGCTGAGTGATTTCCTGAATATCGTAGTCACTTAGATAGAATTGTATGTCGTGACCTACCTCAGGATTTTAGAATGTAGCTCTTTCAGTACGGCTGCTTCTTCTGTATTTAGAGAGCCTAATATCTAAATTACATTGTCGTAGTTAAGTCCTTGGTAAGTAACCCATCCTATGTCACTGGTTCTGTGCCCAGTTCTTCGTCGAGTGGAGGACCATGAGTGAATACCACCCTGAAGTAATCAACTATGGCTTCTACTTTCTCCCGGTATTACTCTGTAGAATTATGGTCTATTTCGTTATTAGTACTGCTCTGATGATAAAACTAATCTTAAGATTGTAGATTTGTCATGGTTTGACTGCCTAATCTTTAAGATCTTACTTGGACATGTTATACAGAATGGTCACGTCTGCGAGGCTGAGCTATGCCATCCGATTTAATGAATGAATATTCCCGCATTAATCTTCTCTTTGAGTCAACTGCCAAATATAAATTTTTTTACAAGTTATATCCTCGGCTTCAAAGGTCATGTGGTTAGGGTCCAATGCCATTACAACTCTACCACTTGAAATGCATTCTTCAGTAATTGAACAGGGAATCCACGAATGTATTCTTATGATGTAATAAATATATGACTTCATTTTGTGATGATTGATTTTTGTGTCTCATCTATGATGCACTTATTGTGTCTTTATACTTATTCCGAAGTGCCTTGTAACGCTTATTTAAATTTTTGCGCCAAGACTGATGATGACTTTCCAGTCCTTTCTAAGTAAATGTCGAATATCTTGGTCATCCAGGGATGGCTGCGTTTTTCTCCTTTGTGATTGCTCAGGGAATAAACGGTCAACAAATTTGGTTGTGTGATTGCTGGATGTAATTCCATTCCTCTCTCACTCGTTTGGCTACGTCGATTTTTCAGTCTTCAACTGAGGTGACAGTTGACTTTCTTCATGTATGCCATACATAAGTTAGGATACACTTTTCGTGCCTTAAGGTAACCCTCGTGCTATTGATAGAAGAAACCAGAGAAGTAGTGAATAGGTCTTTATTTCGATCTTAGCGCAGTCGCAGTGGAGCGTGGGATTATCTGTTCAGACAAACAAAGGCTCTCAACATTCAATATAAGATAATAGGGAATATAACGCTTATGAAAAATAAGGAAGTGAATGAATACTTGAACAATACTGTTTTGGCATAAGCTTGGTTGTTTGGGGTCAACTCTTAACCAACCAACCTGAGCTGTTACATTAGCTTCCCCCTAGAATCGACTTCCGTAGGAACGTCGGTTCGATTAACCTATCCATCGAAAACACCTTAGTTCTATTTCTCATCCCAAGGGAAAATTATCAACTCGCTCACTATTTGACTTACAATCAGTGACGACTAACGCTGTCAACGATAGTCCATGGATGTCTCCTCATTTACTAGCTTGTCATCTTATTTTGTAGCATGTGATCTATTCTACAACTATCGCTGACGGTTTACTGCGTGCTTTCAAGAGAAAGAGTGTGAGAATGTAGAATAAGAATATCTGAGGAAGTGCCGCGAGCGGGCTACCCA